TTCTCTCCCACTCTTTCTCCTTCCCTTCTCCTCTCTCTAAAAGTAAATAAATAAAATTTTTTTAATAAAAAAGTCCACAGAGACCCAGAAGGTCACTTCATAACACTCAAGGGAAGAATCCACCAAGAAGACATAATATATATGCATGCAACATAGGAGCACCCAAATACATAAAATCTTGGAGGAATTCAAGAAAAATATCGACAGGGATACAATTATAGTAGGGTATTTTAACACTCCACTGTCAAAAATGGACAGATTTTCTAAACAAAATAGCAACAAAGATATTGTGGCATTGAACAATGCCCTAAATGAAATGGACTTAACTGATATATATATAGACTTTCATCCCAAAGTAGCTAAATACACATTCATTTCAAATGCACATAGAACATTTTCAAAGTTAGACCACATGTTAGGACACAAAACAAGTTTCAACAAATTCAAGAAAATTGAAATCGTATCAGGCATTTTCTCTGACCACAAAGGATTGAAACTAGAAACCAACCCCAAGGGAAAAACCCCAAAACACTCAAAATAATGAAGATTGAATATCATGCTATTCAATTAGGGATGGGTCAAGAATGAGATTAGGGAAGAAATTCTGAAGACAAATGAAAATGAACTCACAAAAACCCCAAATTTATGGGACACGGTGAAGGCAGTCCTGAGAGGGAAGGTCATAGTGATACAGGCCTACCTAAAAAAAAAAAAAAAAAGAGAAACATTTCAAACAAACACCCTAACTCTACTTCTACAAGAACTCAAGAAACAACAACAAAGACAACCCAGAGCCAGTAAAAGGAAGGAAATAACCAAGATCAGAGCAGAATTAAATGACATACGGACTAAACACAATTCTAAGGATCAATGAATCCAGGAGCTGGTTCTTTGAAAAGATAAATAAAATTGACAAGCCATTAAGAAGGCTCATAAAAGAGAGGACCCAGATAAACACAATCAGAAATGAAGTGGAGATTACAACTGATACCATAGAAATACAAAGGATTGTATGCCAAGAAATTTGAAAATAGGTGAAATGGACAAGTTTCTAGAAAAATAAAATCTTCCAAAACTCAGTGAAGAAGAAGCAGAAAGCCTGAAAAGACCAATAACAGCAGATGAAATTGAAGCAGTAAAAATAAACAAACAAATAACAACAACAACAAAAACTCCTGACGCACAAAAGCTCTGGCCCAGATGGTTTCACAGGAGAATTCTACAAAGCATTTAAGGAAGAGCTAACCCCTATCCTTCACAGACTATTCCAAAAAGTCCAAAGTGATGGAAGACTTTGGAAGACTCCCAAACTCTTTATGAAGCCAGCATCATCCCAATCCTGAAACCAGATAAAGACACAAGAAGGAAAGAAAACTTCAGGCCAATATTGCTGCTGAACATAGAAGCTAAAATCCTCAACAAAATATTGGCAGACCACATCCAGCAACATATTAGAAAGATCATACACCATGACCAAGTGAGATTGATCCCAGACATGCAAGGATGGTACAATATTTGCAAATCAATAAATGTAATACATCACAAACAAAAGCAAAGACAAAAATCACATGATCATATCAATAGATGCAGAAAAAGTATTTGATAAGGTACAGCATCCATTTATGATAAAAACATTCAGAAAAGTGGGAATAGAGGGAGCATTCCTCAATATAATAATGGCCATATATAAGAGATCTACAGCCAACATCATACTCAATGGACAAAAACTAAAATCTTTTCCACTGAGATCAGGAAAAAGACAAGGTTGTCCACTTTCACCATTTGTATTCAACATAGTATTGGAAGTTTTAGCCAGAGCAATCAGAGAAGAAAAGGAAATAAAAGGCATCCAAATTGGAAAGGAGGAAACAGAACTGTCATTGTTTGCAGATGACATGATAGTGTACATAGAAAATTCTATTGACTACACCAAAACTACTGGACCTAATAAATGAATTTGGCAAAACAGTGGGATACCAAGTCAATATCCAGAAATCAAAGGCATTTTTTGTATACCAAAAATGAAACAGAAGAAGAAATCAGGAAAAAAGTTCTATCTGATATAGCAACAAGAAAAATAAAGTACCTAGGAGTAAACCTAGCCAAGGGAGTAAAAAATGTATATTCAGAAAACTACACAACACTGAAGAAAGAAATCAAGGACAAAAACAAATGAAAACATATACCATGTTCAAGGATTGGAAGAATTAACATCATCAAAATGTTTATACTACCAAAAGCAAATTATAGATTCATTGCAATCCCTATTAAAGTACCAATGGCATATTTCACATAGAATGAACACCTCAAAAATTTATATAGAACCATAAACGACCCCAAATAGCTGCAGCAATTTTGAGAAAGAGAAAAGTGGGAGAGATCGCAAAACTTCATACCAAACTGTATTACAAGGCCACTGTAATCAAAACAGTCTGGTACTGGCATAAAAACAGACAGACTAATGGAACAGAACAGAGAACCTAGAAATAAACCCAAGTCTCTACCATCAATTAATATTCAACAAAGGGGGCAGCAACATAAAATGGAGTAGAAAGAGCCTCTTCAACAAATGGTGTTGGGAGAACTGGACAGCCACATGCAAAAACATGAAACTTGAGCACCAACTTACACCATACACAAAAATAAATTTAAGGTGGATAAAAGATATAATTCATGACACCATAAAAGTTCTAGGGGAGAACATAGGCAGGAAAATCTCAGATATTTTACATAGCAGTATTTCACTGGTATGTCTCCTAGAGCAAGGGACATAAAGGAAAGATAAACAAATGGGATGTCATCAAAATAAAAAGCCTCTGCATGGCTAAAGAAAACAGTATTAAAATAAAAAGAGAACCAACCATATAGGAAAACATATTTGCCAGTGATACCTCAGACAAGGGTTTAATCTCCAAAATATATAAAGAACTTACACAACTCCACTCTGAGAAGACAAACAGCCCAATTAAAAAATGGACAAAGGACTTGAACAGACACTTCTCCAAGGAGGACATACAGAAGGTCCTGAGACATGAAAAGATGCTCAGTATTGCTAGCTATCAAGAGATGCAAATTAAACCCACAATGAGATACCACTTCACACCAGTCAGAATGGCCATCATAAACAAAGCAACAAACAAGTAGTGTTGGAGAGGTTATGGAGAAAAGGGATTCCTAGTGCACTGTTGGTGGGATTGCATACTGGTACAACCACTATAGAAAACAGTTTGGGATTTTCTCAGAAAACTAAAAATGGTTTTGCCTTTTGACCAGGCAATTCCACTGCTAGGATTATACCCTAAGAACCCTGAAACAACAATCCACAAGAACCTATGCACCCCACTGTTCACAGCAGTACAATTTACAATAGCCAAGTGCTGGAAGCAACCTAGGTGCCCATCAGTAAATGAATGGATCAGAAAACTAAGGTACATTCACACAATGGAATTCTATGCAGTAGAGAGCAAAAAGGAGCTCCTACCCTTTGGGACAGCATGGATGGAACTGGAAAGTGTTATGCTGAGTGAAATAAGCCAGGCATTGAAAACCAAATACCATATGATCTCACCTTTAACTAGAACATAGTCAACAAAAGAAAAAAGCAAAGTATAACCAGGGACAGTGAGATTAAGAACAATCTAAAAATAGCCAGAGGGAAGGGGACTGTGGGGGGAAGGGTTTTCAGGAACTACTATTAGGACACATGGACACAACCAAGGGGGAAGGTGGCAGCAAGGGAGGGAGGTGTGTTTGGCTGGGGTCAGGGGGAGTGGTGGGGAGAAAATGCAGACAAATGTAATTGAACAACAATTTGAAAAAAGTCATAAAACTTCCCTAATTTGGTGGAGGAAATAGACATACAAATACAGGAAGTACAGAACATCCCAAATAAAATGAACCCAAACAGGCCCACCAAGACACATCAGAATTAAAATACCAAAGGTTAAAGACAAAAGTAGAATCTTAAAAGCAGTTAGTTACCTACAGGGGAGTACCCATAAGACTATCAGCTGATTTCTCAACAGAAACTTTGCAGTCTAGAAGGGATGGGCAAGAAATATTTAAAGTGATGAAAAGCAAGGACCTAAAACCAAGATTGCTGTACATAGCAAAGGTATCATTTAGAATCAAAGGACAAATAAATAGTTTCTCAGGAAAGAAAAAGCTAAAGTTCATCATCAAATCAGTATTATATGAAACATTGAAACGTCTTGAAGAAGAAGGAGGAGGAGGTGGGAAGGGGAAAATACAAAGAATAAAATGGCAATAAATACATATGTATTTGCAACTGAATCTTAAAAACAAATAAATGAACAAGTAGAACAGAAACAGACTCATGGGTACAGAGAACGTTTTGACAGTTGTCAGATGGGACTATGGAGGACTGGGTGAGAAATGTGAAGGGGTTAAGAAGTACAAATCTATTGTTACAGAATAGTCATGGGGATATAAAGTACAGCATAGAGAATATAGTCCGTAATAGTCTAATAACATTGTATGGTGTCAGATGGTGCAAGATTTATCGGCTTGACCACTTATTAAGTTATGTAATATCTAATCACTGTGGTGTGCACTTGAAACTTACATAATAATGTTTATGAACAGTAATGGAAAATGTATAAAATGATAAATTTAAGAAAAACCCATCCTTAACTGCCTTGGAAACTCTTACTTAAACAGAAGATTTATATGTATAATTAGGTCCCTGTGAAATAAAGAACTAATGCAAACAGTTTATATCACAACTTTAGTTTTCTTAAGCATAACTTTATTTTTCTTACATCCCAAAAGGTGACTTTAAAAGATTTATTTTTCTAAAATATGTTTATTAGATTACTAGAAGCATCTTTTTTTAAAAAATGAATAAATGTTTAAGAAAACATTCGGACCATACTAGTAGTAATGGGTCCTGTTGGGGCAGAGGATGCAAGCTTTTACATTTTCTTTGCACTACTTCCAATCCTAATGTTCACAGTTTTGAATTTTTGATTCTATTGTAGCTGAAGTTTACACTCAAGACCTACTTTCCTTACGCTTCTCCATCTCTCGTCATGGTGCTAATCCAACACCCAAAAGGTACGTAAAGATTTATTGTGCCCATATTAAGATGATTTCTGGGAAAGGGCACCGCCAAGTCATAAGCCTTCTCTCCCAGTTCCTGATTATAAAACAAAGGAAATGGAAGTGGTTCTCGCTGGCATCTCTTTACGCTCTCAGGGTCTCACATTCTGTGGATTTTGACAAGATGGTTTGATGTCCCAGTTAGGATCATTTACCAAAAGAAGGAACACAGAAAAAAAAAAAAAAAAGGTCTCTTGTTAAGCTTTGATAGTATGCTCCAGATACCACAAGTCTTCTACTGCCAGCCAGATCCAACTAGATGCAAAGAACAGGCTAAGACTTGGCTGAGTTAGAATAAAATGGTACATTTATTTGTATTACATTCTTTCTACTCCATGCCCCTTGTTACAAAAGAAAAAAGGATGAATGAAGCCAAGGAAATGTAGGTGAAATTTCTCCTAACCAAGCCAAGGGAAGGCTTCCGAAAGAATTCCATAAGTGTATTACACCAGAGTTTTCTTTGATTCCATTTGCCAGCCTTCCGTAGGCCATTACCAGTTGGGGAAATGATGGTTACTGGCGTTGATTGTTAACATGCCTGTGAGGGAAGAAGGCACTTTATGTGACTGGGGAAAGAAAGAATAAAGAGTGGAAGAACCAGTAACACTTCCTTTATATGCCATTTTTCGCACGCCTTTTTCCTGAGACTAGGGTACGTAGATTTATTTAAGGAAGTAGATGAATTGGTTTCACAGCATTTTATAAAACCTGAATTTCTCTTCCTTTTTTCTAAAAGACATAGGTTCTCATGCAAAGTGACCCATCTGACATTGTCTTCTTAGATGCTAGAGGCAGAGGTGGTGATGGGCCCGTGGGAATCTCTGGCCAACAATTTTGTGAAATTTAACCTGTGGAAACACAATGAGAAAACTTTAATAACAAGACAGAGAAGTCAGTAATTTACTTTCCAGGGCTATACCTCACAGCTTACATCAGATCACCAAAACCTAAGGTCAGCCTGTGTGGCTCCAGAGAAGCACTGGACTTGTTATTTTTTAAGTTTGGAGATCTTTAAATGAAAGATTGAGTGGTGTATGGTATATGGGCATGACCTCGGCCTACTTACCTTCTCCTCGGTGTGATTATCCCAGACTTGTCACAGGATAAGTAAATTCACACAGGAGTACAAGAGCTTCCTATGCTAGTTTCAGAATAGTTTTCTGCATATTACTATTAGAAAAAACAATGTTAAATTCACAAATTAAAGTGTTTTTAATAGTAGGATCTTTTATTCATCAGAAATTGATTTTGTGCCTACTCTAAAGTCCTATGGAGCATGAAAGATGAATCACTTATGAGCCCTGACTCCCTAGGAACTGTAAGTAGAGGGGACATAAAGTAGGCATCTAAACAACCGATATAAAGAGGAAAATGAAAATGCCTTCAAAGGCTGCAGACGAAGAGTTCTGGGGGTTCAGAGGACGGAGGGGGAGTCTGTCTGACCCTTTGATCTGTAACGTTTGTGGAGTAGCAGCTGGTACTCTGTCACATTGTCTTCCTCATGGATATAATTATAGAATCCATCGCTACATGCAAATGTGGTAACCTTTTTCAGATGTTGTTTCAAACTGCAGATACATAGTCAGATGTGTTTAATTGTGAAACCAGAGAAACTAACTCAAGAAAGGACATTTGTTTGTATGATACCCATGTTTTTTTTTTCCCACTGGCCTTTTCTTTACTGTAAGCCTGTGATCACATTATAAATTCATCACAAATCATAGAAAAACAGTTGGGCAGCCCATTCCTAGTTTCTTAGTGACTGTTTTATTAGTCTCCACGTATTTTAATGTCACAAATTGTTAGCGACAGAGGAGGGAGTGAGTAAGTAGAAAAGGAAAAACCTGGGCATCTGCAGCGTATCATTTCGGAATCCCAGGGTGGGCTGCTCTTACAGTCTCTACAGACTCCACATGTCTGAGTTTAGACCCTTGAAGCTGACCTCATGCAACACTAACGGATGTTTCCTCCCAGGCCTGAGCAATGGGTGCTGGCAGAGCTCCACTGACCAGGAAAAAGAATGGCTTTTCCCCTAAACTCTTCCAGCCTTAGCGGCAGGTGGTTACTACCTAATAGGTTTGACATTTCTTCAGTTTTCTTCTCTCTTTTTACCCGCAGATATCCCACAGGGACTGTGGCACCAGCCACTGAAACATATTTCTGAAATGCTCAGAGAAGCAGTGGAAGACCAGACTCCTGGGTAAGCAGACCCTGATGACTCCTAGGAGTGCTTCCCACATGGTTTGTCTGGACTCTCGTCTTCCCTTTAGCAGGGCTGGTGGAGGGGCATCGTTGGTCTGTGACCGTTCCCGCTCAGGTAAACACACTGCTGAGTGAGAAGTAGAGAAAGCACGGAGCTGCTCGGACCACTTTGTGTTCCTTAGAATAAGTAGGCATGCACATGTGAATACCTCGTATAGTGTCAGATTTTGAAATAGTGCAAGCATAATAATAAAAAGAACACACCCTGAAAAAAAGCAGTGCCCACATGCTGTGAACTCCTGGGAAGGTGGGAGAGGAATGTCTGTCTTCTTCTCTCTACCTCTCCACGGGAGGAAATTCTAAACTGCTCCTATGCAGCGGGATACAATGTTTCTTGTTCCTCTTCTTTATAATAAATACTTATCTAAATTTTAAAAATGCTATTGTGATATTAACATTATGATATTCAGTACCTTCTTATGTGGCTGACTTTCCTGGAAGCATTCACATTTAGGCTTCGTTAAGTTCTTTGTAACATAACCACCTTCAGCTTCCTCTTAAATTTCTTGCTTTTAGAGTATATTTTATTATTTTCTATGCTAGCCTACAAGACTGTCTTTGTTTGTTCCATTTGCCAGTTTTCCCTCTTGAAATTCTCGGTACTCTCATCTCGGAGCCACACAGACTAGAGGCGGTACTCTGTGTTCAAGGTCACTCCTGGAGTGCCAGGTCCTCACCCCTCCGCTCCACCAGGCCTCTTACCAATGGAAGAGACAAAAAGACTGGTAGCCGAGTAGGGATCAGAGTGCTGGCTATATCAGTGACCTGCCACACCTGGCAGTCCTGCTTGTACCCTTTTGGTTGCCTCTGCTGAAGCAGGGACCCTTGATCCTAAACCCCATGGGAACCCTATCTAACCTACATCTGCCTTAACTAGACTTCGGGGTCCAGCTGTAGGAAGGGGTCTGTGGGCAGGTTAGCACTTTGCCAGACAGCCACATGGGACTGCCTCAACACTCAGTCACTGGTAGGAAAGAGGGAGAATGACTAGGGCCAACCCTGCATTGCAGACCTTGAACCCTGATACAAGCACAATGCCCGCCTGGGAGCAGGCAGCACAAGAGGCCCTCCGCTCAGCTCACCGTCCACGGGGGCTGCGGGCAGGAGAGCCTGTGGAGCCTCTTCCTTGTGTCTGCGATGTCGTGACCCAGCCCACCACTAACACGACCTGCATAACATCACCTCGTCCTCCTGTGGGAAACAGTAGGACTGCCCTTCCTTCCGTTTCTCTTCATCGTCTGGCAGGCTAAATTCCAGAACGTTTCATCATTGTTCTCAGCGAGGACTTGGACAGGAGGAGAGCCATGACCAGGGGAGGCAAGGGCCGTGCTTTGGACTTTTGTGGGTCAGCAGAGGAATACGGACCCTGATCCACCAAAGACAGAGCACTGCAGAGGGTCCTGGAGCCCTTCCGTCCCAGGGGCGTCCTCAGTTCAGAAGGAAAGTTTTGATCTTGTGTGATCTCAGGCCAGTCCTGATCCATTTTTTTTCAGGGGAGATGTTAAACTACCAGCACTGCCATGTAAAGTTGATGGGTCCTCACCTTGAGCAGATTCGACCCTTTAAACAACCATTGCGACTCCCAGTTCTCAGTATGACAAAAGGGTGGCTTCACAAAAGCTATATGATGATAGAAAAGAATACAATATACAGTCCATTAAAAAAGGGGAAGGAGTCACAGGAACTAGTGTAAAGGACACATGGACAACAACTAAGGGGGGTGGAAATGGGAGGGAGGTGGGGAGGGCTGGGGGGGTGGGCTGGGATGGGAGTAAAAGACAGAAAACTGTACTGGAATAACAGTTAAATAAATTATTTTTAAAAATTCGTAGTTGCCAAAATACCAACCAGAACCTTGTGTTTTGTCAAAAGGACGCAGCACTTGTTTCTGTCTGTGCCCCTTCTGGGGTCTGCATTTCGACCCTGAGGACCCTCCTCCCTTCTTTTCCTGGAGCACCTGCATGGCTCCTGGGGCTGGGAGGCCCTGCTTTGCACAGCAGCCCAGCTCTGCAGGCTGGAGGCAGAGAGGCGCCCCCACAGCTGCTCATCCTGCATCATATCTGCTGGTCATGGGCCACAGTCTTCCTTTCTCAAAGGTCTGCAGTCACTCAAGTTCCTGGATATGAAGATTTAAATGTCCGAGTTCTCAGGGCCCTGAGCTTTTGAGAGGCATGCCTTTGAAGGTCTTATGATGAGTTCAGAGTGGCATTGTGAGCTATTTTTCTAACTTGTATTCCTTGCAAGTTGTATTCAGTGGGTAAGAATAATTTAAGCCAACAATTCATAGACGTTGCAGTTGCTTTAAGAACCAAAAGCAAAAAAATCAAGTTGCCTGGCTGCCATGTGTTTTGGTTCTGTTCCAGGTCCTCCAGAGGCCCCTTTGAGAGCTGGTTTTTGTTCATTCACTTTGGAGGATGGGCTGAGATGGTGGCTGAGCAGCTACTGAGGTCAGAAGCTGAACCCCCTGAGGACTTGCTGTGGCTCTTGGCATTCAGCTACAGCCCATGTGATGGGAGTCAGCGGAGAGCACAGACCATGGTGGGTGGCAGTACACAGTGCGTGTGGTGTTCAGGGTCAGTCTATGCTGAGCTGAAAGGAGAAACGGGACCTGTAGGAAATGGGACCCCTTGTGGGTTTGGCTTTCACCAACGCCCCAGGTACCTAGGCACTGAATGGCCCCAGTTCCTTATGGTGGTGTGCAGGTGTCTCCCGGATGAGTGATTATGTACTGGGCTTGCAGTAGGACACGTTTCCCGGTATTCACAGAGTTGACTGGAGACCAGATGTTGCCACTCTGCTCTTCTGGGAAGCACTGAGGAGATGAGAAGTGCAGCCCTTCTGTCCCCAGGTCATTTTCTCTGTTCTTGCTCAGCTGCCCTGGCTGCCCTCACTTATAGCCACGCCCGGCCCAGGGGACGCCAGCCATACAGAGTCCCGACTGCCCGCCCGCCCTCCTGAGGAGCTCTGTTCTCTCCTGAGCAGGGGCCAGGCTGAGTCTGCTTCCGTCCAGACTTACTGCTTTCTTGGATCAGTCAGCAGGTCCTCACATTACTGGCTTTGTTTAGAATTCTTACAAAAGTAATCACATGATATTAACCGCTTTGCTTCTGAAAAAGGACTTGGTCATTTCCTAAATAACAGAGCAGCTAAATACAGGCCTGGCTAACTATCTGTGGCAGAGATAGTTGTTATTTTATGTGGAATATAATAATTACAGGAAGCAATGCTCTGATTAAAGGTGTTGGCACCTCCCTTGCAAACATTTATTTGTTGCTTTTTAAAACTTCAATTGCCAGTGCTTTTAATTGATTTTCCCAATTAAAAAGAGCAGCACTCCTGTTGGCTTGGTGTTCTCTGTTGATTGAGAAAAGCAGAGACCAGCACGGATATGTCTGTATTTTACTTCGGTAAAGGCTTGCATGTCACTAGAAAGAACACTGTGGGATTTTACAGAGTTGAAATTTGGTGATAATACATTTTGGATCAAAAATAGAACACTATTTAGAAATTAACACAGTTCACATATGTATTTTAGGCCATCTGACTGAAAAGAAAGCCCATTTCTTCCCTCTTAAAATATCACATTAAGGAAAATTTTAATTTATGTTTTCATCATCTTATTTTTTATAATAATTAAAATGTATGTAGCTGTACTTATTTCTAAAGTCCCTTATATGTATTTGTAAATATTTTATTCTGTATAAGCTAAGTTGGTAGCTTATTGTTAAGTTCCATATCAATCATAGAAATTGATAAAAATTCACTTTTGAATTGTAGAGAGATAATCTGTCTAGTAAGATTTAATTTCTAGAAAGTTCTGCATTGGCACATCTTTCTGCCTGTTAATTCCTCCTTTCTCTAATAAAATCTACACAAAATCCTTACTCTGCATATACTCTGTCATCCTGGATATCAGTGGATTCATAATCTTTAACTCTGTTGATCCATTCCCAGGAATTATTCTAAGGAATATTTATGTACAAGAATATCATCACAGCATTGTTTTGTAATTGCAAGCATTGAAAATGACCTGAAGTTTCAATAATAGGGATATTGGGTAAATACTGTGGTATAGTCCCGCTGTGAAATAGCACTCTACCATGAAAACTTATGTTCTTAAAGAGTATGTGCCAAAGCTACTGTAATTGCTTAAAGTGCATTGTGAAGAGAAAGCTGTGAGACACAAAGTGCTGTGTGCAGTGTGTGCTGTGTTCACAATGCACAGAGAAGGGTGGGGAGGCTGTAAGCCTAGTTTTTAACAATAAGTCTCTTTGGATGATAGAGTTATAGGTCATTTGAATTTTTTCTTTTTACTTTTTTTAGATTTTCTAAAGTAAGCACTTACAAATTTTCATAATGCAAAATAAAAAGTAATACTTAGGAAAGAAAGCTTATATCTTCTGAAAAAATTAGAAAGCATTTAGTTATTGGCATGTCAGAAAGGCATTTGAAGGGAATGATAGTCTCGGATGAAATAAAGAGGAAGGAGATTGAGTCTTAGAGAATACTGGACAAGAGGAGAATGGGTATGAAGGCACAGCTTCCTAAGTCCACTTAGATGGCCTCTGTGTGCTCCCGTAAATGCCATCAGATGAGGGCCAGCTGGGCCAGCCAGCAGAGCAGTAGGGAAAGTGGCCGTCTCCTGATGGGACACGGCCACGCTCCGTGGAAGAGCCCCACAGTGCAGTTTCTCACGGTCTTGTTCTCTGAGAACAACTCACACAGCAGTCCTAGTGTGCTGGGTTTGTGACAGACTTCACTGAAGGAGGCTTTAACACCCAGAAAAAAAGGCTCACACAAAGTCCATAAAATTGGTCATGGGAATTCTCAGAATAGGCCTATGTATTCTTTTGAAAATGATGGAACATTGCTGTTCATGAGTTCCATGTAGCATTCTGGACCTGTGGCTTTCAGTTCTTGCTTTGTTTTCCAAGTCTCAACTGGTGTACCATTCTTATAGCAAGCAGAAGTCTCAGCATGAAATAAATATTTTTAATGCAAAAACAACCACAGACCTATAACAATCACCATTATTGTGTGGATTTCACAGACTTGTGACCTCTGCTTGAGCTTTAAACATGTATGAACAGACTATCCCAGTGCCTAAAACAAAGTGTGTGTGTGTGTGTGTGTGTGTGTGTGTGTCCATCCTTCTCTCCACAACCCCACCCGCGCCCAAAGATAGCAAAAAGAAAACTTCATGCTTATCAGAACACTGGCTCAGCGGAGGTCTGATAGCATGCGGATTTTGTTGATTGGTGGCTGTGATAGGGAGTGAGTCTTCAAGGAGCCTTTTGTTCCTTTTCCCACAATATAAAAATCTGACTACATTCTGCTGAGGACTTTTCTCCATTTCCTTTCATACAAGAAAAGGTCAATTCCTGGCACAGTGCCCTAGATGCTTAGTGAGCAAGACGAAAGAAAGTCAAGAAAATTCCATCACACCCCTTTGGGTTTGTGTGGAGCAGTGTGGAAGCTCAGACGTGGGCTGCCTCAGTCTGCCCTTCCTGGGTGCTGGTCCTCTCTTCTTTTGGAGAGTTGCTTCAAAGTACTGAATAAATCCCAGAACCATGTGTGTCCCGACTCTTCCCTAATCTCTCATCTTTGAAATGACACTCCCCAGGAAGAGGTGAAAGTGGTGCTCGGCCACCTCATGAAGCTGTTCAGACGTCCGACCCTCTCAGCCAGGGACCTGCAGGCAGCCACTGGGGAGAGCCAAGGTGGAGACCCCAGGCCACCAGCATGCAGCCGGCTCGTCAGGCACCTCCTCCTGAACTTCCTGCTCTGGGCTCCTGGAGGCCACACAGTTGCCTGGGAAGTCATCAGCCTCGTAAGTGTCCCCTTTTTTAGCATCCTAGTTTTCATTCATATGTCACCCAAGGGTCCGGCCTTTGAAGAGTATGTGTACCAGGATGCTCGTCCAAACCTGGATACAGACAGTGAGGTAGACAGCTGAGATGGACCCCAGAACCTGCCCCGTGCAACATCTTCATGTCACAGAAGAGAAAATGGAGGCCCAGATAGGCAGTGACTTCTCCCAGGTCACACAGCTTGCTACCAGAGCACATAGGAGCGGCTAGGTCTCCTGTCTCCCAGTGACTCTTCTTTCAGTTCAGTGCATGACTTCCTTCCTCCTCATGAAGAGAAACTCGGCAGCAGGGAGAGTGCGCTCCCTGCAGTGGTGCAGGGAGTTTCATTTGTCAATTACAAAGAAATCCTCCTGGAGCCCAGCGGACATGGGGTAAAGAACAGTTCATGGTATTGGATTTGACAGTGATTTCTTGGGTAATAACACTAAAAACATAGACAACAAAAGAAAAAATAGATGAAGTTCATCAAAATTAAAAACTTGTGTGCATCAAAGAACTCAGTCAAAAGAGTAAAAAGACAATTCACAGAATGGCGGAAAATGTTTGGAAATCACATATCAGATAAGGGTTTGGTATCTAAACTATATTGGGAATTCTTATAAGACTGTGACAGAAAAACAACCCAATTGAAAAACAGGCAATGGATTTGAACAGACATTTCTCCAAAGAAGATGTGCAAATGGCCAATAAGCACATGAAAAGTGCTCACCGTCACCAGCTGTTAGGAAAACTAATCAAAACCACAATGAGGTACCACTCCACACCCACTAGGATGCTATTACAAACAAACATAGTCCAAAGATGGAAACAACCCAGATGTTCATCAACAGGTGAGTGGATAAACAAAATGAGGTGTATGCCAGTCACAGAAGACAAACACTGTCCGATTCTACTTATATAAGGTACCCAGAATAGGCAAACTCAGAGACAGAAAGTAAAATAGGGATTATCCAGGGGCTGGGGGGCATGAGTTGTGCATTTCTCTAAAAGAACGTCATGGAACCGCTGTGGTGGATGTGATGGGGAAGGACGGGGAGTTAGCTTTTCGAGGGCACGCAGCTCCTGCTTGGGAAGGCGAGTGGCGGTGGCAACGGGCGGCGGGGATGGTTGCCTGGCACTGTGAGTGCACTTCACGCCACTGAGTTGTATGTTTTAAAGTGGCTAAAATAGCAAAGTTTATGTTTATTTTTACTATGATTTTGAAATAAGCCAGGCGGTGAAAGACAAATACCATAAATCTTACCTTTAACAGGAACCTGAACAACAAAACAAACAAGCAAGCAAAATGTAACCAAAGGCACTGAAATAGAGAACAGGGGGATGGTGACCAGAGGGGAGAGGGGAGGGAATTTCAGGGGAAAAGGGGAGGGATTTACAGGAACAAGTATAAAGGACACATGGACAACAACTAACAGAGGTGGAAATGGGAGGGAGGTGGGGAGCACTGGGGGGGTGGGCTGGGATGGGAGTAAAACACAGAAAACTATACTTGAACAACAATTAAATTTTTAAAAAAGTGAAAAAATGCTCATCTCAGAAAAAAGTACCAACATGCTTGCTCTTGGAATTTTGTTTTTTTCCTGTGCTTGTTTTTACTTTTTATTGCCCTATAATATACATAATTAAATGTATAGCTCAGTGAATTTTCCCAAACCAAAACATGCATAGAGCCAACAATCAAACCAAGAAAGGAATGTTCCAGCACCCAGAGGCCCCTCCAGCTCCCTTCCAGGGAAGCCCTGTTTGAGTGTGAGTGCGCTCGGGGGAAGTCACAGTGGCAGAAGGGCTGCCGAGAACCCAGGAACCAGCATCTGGAAGGTTCTCCTTAGACCTTGTTAAATGGTCTGTGTGTAGGGCCCACCGCTCACATGCTCAAAAAGAAGCCATACAAGGGCCTGGGCAGAGCCAAGAGTGGAAGAGGACTTGCTGTCGTGTGTGGGGCGCCATCTCCCCAAGGGCCACTCCAACTGTAATCTGCTGTGTACTTTCATAAAATACTCACCTCGCTGACTTCTGCAGCCCATGTGTCTGTAGAGCCTGGTACCAACCACCTTGGTCTCTGCCAGGCTTGTGAGGTGATAGCCACTGTTAAGCCACTCCCTCAGCCAGGTGATCAAGGTCAACATCAACAGGGTGAGTTGTGCTGACAGTGTGAACCCTCGATATAACCCAGACTAATCCTGTGAAAAATGACTGACAAATGCCAACTGAGGGGTGTTCCACAAAATACCTAACCGGTGCTCCTCCAATCTGTCCAGATCATCAAAAACGAGGGAAGTCTGAGAACCTAAGGAGACACGGTGACTGAATATAATGTGGGACCTTGGATGGGATCCTGGAACAAAAGAAGGACATTAGGAAAAAACAGGAAATATAAATAAAATATGGATTTTAGTTAATAAAAATGTATCCCTTTTGGTTCGTTAATTCTGAAAAATGTACCGCACTAATGTAAGATGTTAATAACTTGACAAGTGGATGCGGGGGATGTACAATCTCTCTGTATTATCTTTCAGTAAAATTATAAATCTAAAACCTTCAAAATTAAGTTATTTTAAAAAGTCAACAATAGGCACTTTTAAATCATGAAAGTGTTGGCAGCATTTTTGTCACCTGACCTCTGACCCCCAGCCCATGCCCTGGATACCGGTGGGAGCCTGGCCCTCCTTCTCCCAGGGGGCTCCCTCCCACTCCTCTCTGGGACTGTCACCTGGGATTGGAAAGGCAGGCCCTGCCCATGGGGTGTGGGAGAGCATGACCCAAACAAAGCCCCTCAGAGACACCCGAGTCCCCATTCAGAATGGCCAGCCCTCAGGGCTCACCCTCAAAGAAACTGCTGTGAATAAGGAGCTAGGTCCTGTCACGGGGTTCAGGTGTGCGGCACGTGCCAGGAGGCCCATCCCTGCAGAACAGTTCAGACCCAGCCATGTGTTAACACCTCAGGCTGGGGGGACACTGAAAACCCCGGTGCATCACTATGAGGTTTTGTAAGTCAGCTCAGCTGGGGAAAAAAAAATATCATTGACAGATAAAATGCTAGTGTTTCTCTTCACACAGTGGCTTCTTAGCAGGGGGGTGGTCGCCATACCCAGGTGCCCCTCCAAGCCAAGTAGCTTCCTGCGCCCTGTCCTTGCACATATTCTGAAATAGTTTTTACTGACACACCAGCCTTCCCAACTCTAGGCTTCCTGCAGTGGCCACCGACAGGCCGATGGCAGCCCGGCTACAGCAACTGCTAAAGGGCCAGACGGAGGAGTCAGCGCATTGCCAGCCTTGCATGGGCTTCTCCTCACCTTCCACATCTCCTGTGCTTTTCTCTCTGTGACACTCCGAACGAGTCCTGAGCCAGGTCTGCTTGGCCTGGGTAGTGGTCGGATGGTGGAAATACTGGCTTCGATGGCCTTTCCCTGTCTGCGGCTCTGGCTTCACCACCCTGGGGACCCAGGCCCTGGCCCAGCTCTGATGTGAACTGAGGCTCAAGCAGAGCCAGCTGGGTCCTGGGACCTGGTCTTGCATCAGCCTCGGAGAGCTGTGCACACTCCAGACCGGGACGTGCACAGCAGGGCTGTGTGTCTGAACCTTGTTTCTTCACAGTCCTCCTTCCATACCTTCTCCAAGGGGGCCCTGCCTTACTGAAGGGCTCTATTTCATTAAAGGTGCCCTGTGCCTCCATCTCCTTTCCTTTGCGCCGCAGCTTCTCCTACACGGTGCTCCCAGCCTACTGCTTCCTGTGGCTCCTCACAGGGGCCCCATGCGTCAGTTTCTGCCAGTCTTGAGCTTCTGAGAATTTCCTCAGACTCATTTGTCAGAACTCTCATGCCTTCTACCCCGTGATCTGCTCCTGTTCGCTCTGCTCTGCTCCGCCCCTCTGCTCAGGATGGCGCAAAGAGCGGCCTGGACTCCTCCTGTCCTGCTCTGACTTCATGTTTCTCTCTCCCTCTCCTCTGTCCTTGGTTGCTGGACCACAAAAATAACAACCAAAAGTTAGCTAGAATCTGAAATAGGGAGTTCAGTTCTGTAGTGGCTGGGCTCAAAATGAATGTAACCCTTTCCTGATGTGCCTCAGCCAAGCCCTACCAGGATGCGAGTTTCTGACCTCAGGTGCAGGGAGGCAGGCTTTTGTCTGGGACTAGAGACCTCAAACAGAACAGGGTCAGATTGAATTGGCTTGTAAAGAGGTCAGATGGGTACCACCACATTCGTCTGACAGCCACACCCCCTTGCCCCCCTGTCCCTGGGGTCACTGGGCAGTGGAGCAGGAGGCAGTCTTCCCTGCTCGGGTTCTGGGTAGTAGGTCAACGCTTCCACGTGCCCCCGGGAGCCTCACAGTGTTTCATCCACAAAGAACAGAGGCTGCATCTGTGGAGAGTCACCTACGGCATTTGTGACTTCTGAGTAAAAACCAGGTAACGATCATAGATACACCAAGTGCCACGGTGAACCCCACCTGCACTGCAGCCTGCGCCCCCCCCCCTCCAGCAGAGCCCCAGGGTGGAGATGGCGGACACTGGAGGTGTGCCCCCCGCTTCCTGCACCGTGCTCACCCAGCACACGTGCTGCCAGAGGGTCTGCCACGACTGAGGATTGTCCGAGTGGGCTTCCAGGGCTGTGGCGTGGTCCCTGGTGGACCAGGCCGCTCACCCTACCAAAAGGGCCCCTGTGGAAATGGAGAAAAAGCTGTCCCTTGGCTGCTTTTGCTGCTTACAGATGGGCTTAAGGATTCAATATAAACTGATACCCACAAACAGATTACTCAAAAAAAAATGGACAACTTAATGCTGCTTGTGTCTAAAAAAAAATCACAATAAATTCTTCATGCAGCTAAATTGTGAGGTTCTCACCCTTCCCTTCAGTTCTCTGCTGAACTGAAATTCTTAGGAAAATATTGATGGGCACCAACAACTCAGAATCCCTTGAGGCTGTATTTAGCAGAACGAACAATCCCTGTGTTTCCTGCTTTCCTTGAGAATCAGGTATTAAAACTTTAGATGCCTTTAAAAAACAAGTGTGCCAGGTTGCTGGCCCAAGAATGCCATTTATAAAGCTGTTTGTGTGAAAACAGGTGGCATGTTCCTTTCAGCATTTTCCAGTTCTCAATAGTGTGAGCCTTTTGCAGAAAGTCGAGCCCCAGCACGTCCATTTACCTTTGCTCCCCCGGTAAAAAATCCCAAATCTCATGACTGGCATTTCAGGAAATGAGGTACTTGCTTGTAGCCATTCTGTCAGGAGAGGGGGGGTCCTTAGGAATTGCCTCTGCTCACTGGATGGCCAGCCTCTGAGAACAGACTTTCTTGCCAGTCACCTTGAAAACAATACAAGAGCCCTTTGGAGTGATGGGAATGCAGCTGCTTTTCTGGGACAGGATGGTTACGGTTGGTGCTGGACAAAGAAACGGTCTGCCTGGGAAGTGTTTTAATTTGGCTCCTCTCTGTCATTGCAGATGGCTCAGACTGATGAAATGACCCATGAGATTATCGGCTTTCTTGACCAGACCTTGTACAGATGGGATCATCTTTGCATGGAAGCCCCAGCGTCAAGAAAACTGGCCAGAGAGCTCCTTACAGAACTGCTCGCACGAGTCAAGCACAGGCCCGTTGGCCATGTAGCTGCCATGCAGCCCGGGCTCGCTGGGGCCACAGGCTGAAATGATGGTCCTGCTTCTTTGTGGATTGGGTACCTCTGTGACTAGTGACAATAAGCCATAAATATCTTGGCAAGTTCTGGCAGTCCCTATTTTACAAAGCGAGAAGACAGGTACTTTGTTTAGCCCACGCTCAGTCAGACTTACTACTGACTGGATTTAATGCCTTCAGCCTTCTCTCTACCTGCGCAGCCTGGGTGACAATTAGAGAATCATGGGAGAAAAGGCTCGGATGGGAGAACAGATTTTTATTTCTTTTTTTCCCTTTCTGAACCAAGATGCATGACCATTATTTGAATGTTTCAGAGTCTTTGGACCAGGAAATTGGTCATGAGCCACTGGTCAGTTTGGAAAGTAACTTAGCCCTTTTCCACAGATCTGTGTTTCAGATGTCAGGTCACTGGTATTGGTGTTTCTTTTAATCGACAGGGATTTAAGATCAAGCCACACTTTCTTGCTTCCCGAAGAAATTGTTCAGCAAAGGAAGTTTCCCTCGGGCAGCCCCTGAGCAAGGCAGGCGAAGCAAGTAGCAGTGCCGGGCCCAGTGGTCAGTGGGGGTACAAGCACCAGCCCGGCCATGGGGCCAGCACTGCCTGGGACTGGAGCCAGGGCTGGGGCTACCTCTCTGCTTGCACTGGCTAAACACTGAATGCCCCTGAAGGAGCACGCACCGCCTCAGAGGAGCCTGGCAGGGATCTAGGCCATGTTCTAGAAACATCAGAAAAGATTATGTGTCAGTCGTTTTGTTAAGTGAAATGGAAGTGCACATTTCTAATAAATAACCAGTTACCCCAGGGTTAGTATTTATTTTGCATCAGTTGAAGATACTCTCCTTCTCAGGCTATGCTTAACTTGTATTGATTGTTTTCTCTTTTCCATTTATTGTTTGTCACGTGAGGCAAGACTTCCTTTTACGCCCACTTGGATTTGTGTGTTAGTAATGAGTCTCCCTCAGTCTGGGCTCCTGCTGGAGGTGTGAGTCAGCTTTTGTTGGATTAGACAGAGGTTGAGCTTCCAGGTTAAATGCTTGTTTCGGTGTATGGATCTACCTGAAGAGCTGGAAAATTCCAGTAACTTTTGACCTGAGCCTTCCTTTTGAGAAGTGCTACAATATGAAGGGTGCGCTGTTAAAATACTTCTCTCACAACCGCCGTCATCCTCATCACTTCCACATGCTGTGATCAGCCTCTGTGGACGGGAGAAGGGGGCCCGGTGTGGTGGGAGCGAGGAAGCCCCAAAGCACGCGCCCACCAGGAGCGGGCCTCCCTTTGGGGTGCGCTTGCACGTGGACGTCCATTCACACTGTATTCCTGGCAAACAGAAAACCAAGATGAATATCTACCTCAGATTTTGAAGGTGCATTTCTGGAAGACTCTTTTCTGCCTTGACTATACCTCAGCCCTTTCTTAGTATCTTCAAGCCTAAGTTCTTCCAAGCCTTGGACATTTGAGTTGGCAACTGAGCAGACTGTCTGAGCTGGTGAAGCCGAAGCTTCTCCCAGGGAGATCCCAGCAGACCTGCAGCTCTGTCGTTCAAGGGAAGAACCCCCAGGAAGCTTTAATTGAGGACATCAATAGGCACTGATTTGTTTACTGATTGCATGTTCTCCCCTAGCCTTCTCCCACCTTGATAAAGGTGCTGACAAGGGGAGGACACTGAGGGCAGCAGCATGGGCGGGGCTGCTTCCCAAAGCCTCAGCAGCCACGTGCCCCTGCTCCACCTCTAGAAGGGTCGCCCATTCTATTCAGTTCCGGGAGGGTAAGAGGCTGCCCACAGCCCCGATGGAGCTGAGTGCACCGTGGAAGGGAGGGTGGGAAGTCATCCTCCCCTGGAAAACCAGAGAAGACAGACACCTGCACATCCTAGCCAGTCAGGGTAGAGAAAGACAGACAGGCCGGGACACTCTACCTTGTCCTCTAGCCGCCTTGGATTTTGGGGAAAGTCTGACTATGTGGCTTTTTTTGAAAGAAGTTCAAAGTAGGGGTACAGCTAAAAATGGACTCTGATGAAATGTGCAGGGAAGTCCCTTGAGGGGCACTCAGCCTTCGGTGGAGAGCCAGGAGCACTGAGGTCTGGGGAGCCGGCCCAGGGCAAGGCTGAGACTGGAGGCTCTGCAGCCGTGGGAGGGCCGGGGCTCTGGGTGGGCTTCTTCCCCAGTCTGTGCCAGGCCCACGCCCACCACTCTGACCAGCAGAGTATCTGACGGCGAGCAGCTTCTACAGGGAAGACGCCTGATGGCCTCAGACCCGGAAACCCCGAGGACTGGCTGATCCAGCCACTCGCAGTGTCACAGCTAAGTTCTCCCAGCCTTTGTCTCTAGTGGCACGAAGGCTGCCAAGACCAGCCTTTGCTGACAGCATCCGAGAAGGAAAGGGACAGCCGTTGCCCCTGCGTTTCCCACCAACCGCACCCGGCCTGCCCTCACACCTGAGCAGAGCGGGCCCCAGGAGAACGGGGACCGCAGCCGTCCTGATGGGCTGAGACCAAGGGCAGGTCCATCAGGAGGTGGGCGAGGCTGGAGCTGCCTGGACTTGCACTGCCAGGCCCCTTCCACGGCCCTGGGACCCTATTCATTTCTATAAAATGTATAAAGAGATTTTAGTTGCAACTAGCAAAGATAAGTCTGTGTGCACTCCTACCCGTCGGGCATCTCAGAGGTGGCCCTGGGCACTCCCAGGGTCCGGCCGAGGGGCCCTGAGTCGGCAGTTGGGGTGCTGTGGCCCCCACAGGGCAGGAGCAGCACCCAGGGGTAACAGCACTGCTCCACCCGCGCCGGCTCGGCTGGCCTGGGGCCATGTCACCACCAAAGTGGGGCCTGTGCCACTTGAGGTACACAGGTGCCCGGGAGACATGAGGGGCAGGAGAGGGGAGCCTTTAAAGTGCTGCAGTTTGGGTCTGGGGCGCACGTGACAGAGGCTGTCGAAGACCTGACAGCAGCTCTGCGGTTAGACGTCACCGGTAGGAGCTGTGAAGCCAAGAGAAAATTCTGCTGAGTCTTAATAATGAAGTTTTTTTATATAGCATGCTGGAGAAAAGACTGAAATATCTTTTCTCTCTCTAGAAAATACATAAAATTATCCTGAGAAGAGGTCATCAAAGGTGACAGAGTCAAGAACCGTAGGGAGGAAAGGCGTCACTGAGCACCCACTGACACGGGGCTACATGTGGACTGGGACTCGGCGACATCTGTGGGGTTTTAGCACTGGCAGCTCTAGGCTGTGGCCCCTGGAAGACACAGACAGGGTTTATCCTCGGCCTGGGACTCTTCTCCCGATACCTACAACCCAGGGCTCCACTGCCGGGGAAGAAGGGAGCAGCAGGGGCCGGTTAAAGCAAGTGAAGCGCATCCCACACATACTTATTTTTTTCCAGGACCCTGAGTTAAATGTCACCACTCGGTGTAAACAAAAGTGTTCTGGACACTGTCCTTCCCCATCTCTGAAGACAGAGCTTGTCCCACAAGCACAGCCCAGACCGTCTTGGTCGCTGCTGGTGCCCAGACTGCTGGCCCTTGCGCTCCAGCCTGGGGTCTTGAGAGATGGTCCTGACCTGGCTCCGTTCCGTGACATGTGCTTCAGTGTGGCTGCTTCCGAGCTGCCGGGCAGCCCTGATTTCCCGAGGCCGACAGCTCACTGGGCTTTGGGAAAGGTCACTCTGCTTCCTGACACGGGCCGGGGCGCCTCTCGCCACATGCGGAAGGTGTGTGTGGGTGCAGATGGCAAGTGGACACGCCTCGTTTCTGGAGAAGCCCGTTCCAGGGGTTGGCTGCTTTATTGGCCCCTTTTCTCACTGGAGGAGCAAGGGTGTTGGGACAAGGTGGGGAAGCGTCGAGGGGACGGGAGAAAACCGCATTTTCAGTTGAACGGAGGAGTCAAGAACAGGGACTTGCCAGGAGGGAGGTGGCGCAGATGCAGCCTCAGCAGTGGGGGGGGGGGGGGGTGTGGAGAGTCAGACCTGAGGCTGCCCCGTCCCCCAGGGGGTCGGGGAAGAGGAGCAAGAGGAGCGTGAGGTGTGCTCGATCTTATTCGACAAGGAATCCAAACCGATTTTGTTTCCCGAGGAAGGAACGTGCGCACGAACTGTGCCGCTCCCCTTGTTTGCCCGGTGCCCCCCCTCGGCCCACCAGCGCCCTTCCCCGTCGCGGATGTGCCGCCCGGGTCTGCTTCCCGTCGCCTGACACTGGGTTCAGCGTGGGTTCTGGGGACTCCGTCAGACAGTTCTGTGTTACTGCATACACCAGACCGTTTTTCTCCTGAATAACTAAAATTAAGGCAAAAATAATGTGTCTTAAAGTCTTCTGTACTCCAGCTCCATGATATGTTTGTGCCACGGGTCCAGTCGCTACTCTCATGTCGAAGAAGGTGTTGTGATGCGGGGCCTCCCTCGTCCCAGTCTGTCACTGCACCTGCTGTTCGGGGCAGGAGGCTTCTGTCCTTCGACACTTTTCCGAAGAGACATAAGGTCTCGTAACCAATGAGGGAAACCGTGCCGGCCTCTGGTGTTTTCTCGCAACATGACAGACCCGTTGTGACACCCAGGACTCTTGGTGGCAGGCAACAAACAGGCACAGTGTGGAAAAGAAAAGGGAATTGATGAAGCGGGTGTTTAAAAGCCCACAGAATGATCGGGCAGACAAGGCTCAGTGCCTGCCAGCAGCGGTGCCCAAAACCCGCTTCAAAGCAGCCTGCCGAGGTCGCCGCCACTGCCACAAAGACCTGCACCCGGGAGCCTCCGCGGCTCCGCAGTGTCTGAGGCCTCTGTGCTCTCCCCTGGGGCTTTCGATGGGGGCGCCCAGGCCCCCGCCTGCACTTCAGCTGGAAGGGAGCTGGGGAAGCAGGTGCATGGCCTGGTCACTTCTGTGACGCTACTGCACACTGGAAAGTGTCCGCGCACTGAGAGCCTCCCGGAGCCCTGGGAAGGGCCGGGCGCCGTGGGACGCCCGCACTCTGCAAGAACAAGCAGTCTGCGGGCCGGTGCCCCCACATGGTGCTGGTGGCCCCGTCGGCCCGTGGGTCTTCCTGCTGGGGGCTGGCACGGGCGCTCCGGCGGGTCAGCACTATCCCTGCCCTCCCCACGTCCAGCCCAGTCGTGAGAACTGCTGGTCTGACAGCTCTCCTGGGGAGACATCCTGGGGAGAAACACTGTGACAGACGTATGAACACGATTTAACTGTCCTAGGAACTACATAATCTGATTCTGAATTTCATCTGGAAAGATAAACATTAAAGAACAGCCAGGAAAAGCCTGTGTGGATCATAATGGAGTAGAATGAAGCGCACCACATACCTCCACGTATTCTAAAGCTCGAGTCGTTCCAGCAGCTGGGGCAGCCCGCAGAGGGAGCACAGTGCAGTGTCCTCCCTGGGGCTCCAGCCAGCTGCCCTCGGCTCCTCTCCTTGGTCTGGGCACTGCCTGTCTCGTTGGCCCAACCCTCCCGACAGTTTCCTTTGGCTGACAGAACATTCCAGGGCTTTGACTCACCCTGAGATGGTCCCTACCCAACCCCTGACCTCTTCCTGGTGGGCACCTCTGCCCTGTGTGCCCTCATCCTGCTGGGCTTTCCCATGTCACCGCCCTTCTCCTGGACCCCCTGCTCAGCAGGCACCTGCTGGAGGCCAGTCGACCATGTAAACGTTCCCTCCAAGGTCAAGCCCACCCACCCCATCTCACCCCCCCACCTACACCCAGTCTTCCAGGTCAGCTGATGGTGACTCCACCTTTCTAGTGATTCAGGCCCAATTCTGTAGTCACTCCAGATTCCTCCCTCTCCCCACCTCCCACCCGTTAGGTCCTTCCTGCATCTGACCATTTCTCACCTCCGTCTCTGCCACCCTGTTGACCAGTCTCCTGCTCCAAGCAGGTTCCAGGGTGACCATGTCACACTGCTGTTCAAAGCATCTCAAAAGCTTCCCCCTTCACTCAGTAAAACCCAACGTTCTTAAAATGGCTTTCAAGGACCTGCACAATCTGGACCCCCTTTTAATCTCTGACTTCATCTCCTAATATTCTCTATAACCCCTTTAACCCACTCACTCCACCAGGCCCAGCCCCAGCCCCACGGGCTCCTGGCAGCTGCTCCAACATACCAACCTCAGGGCCTTTGCATGAGCTTTGCTGACACCCTTCCTCCCAAGTGCACAGCCAGTTCCTATATCTGCTCACACATCATGGCTTCCATGACACCTTCAAGATTACTCTCCACCCCTTGGCCTACACTATTGACGGCTCTTGTCCCTAATGCACAACTCCTCCTAGAAACCATGTATGGATTAGGCTTTCTCACTATCTATCTATCTATCTATCTATCTATCTATCTATCTATATATATGTGTGTGTGTATATGTGTATGTATACACACATATACACACACACAATTACAATACCTTATATATTGTTTGTGCTTGCTCTTCCTTGACCATCCCCACAAGTACTGGGAATAGTTTCAGGCACACGGTAGGGTCCCAGTAAGTGTGTGTTAAATTAATCTGTATTGAGATTTTAGTACATGATGAAGGCATTTCCATCGGTAGGGAAACGATGGGGGTAGAAAATGCTGTTGGATTTGTACTTCTGAGATGAAAGTAAACATCAAAACCAAAATGCCTGTCTTCCTTCTTCACCAAATTCAGTGCCCGGGGGGCTGCTGCATGGGGCGTGGGTTTTCTCCGGAGAAGGCTCTAGCAGTTCTGTTTGGAAAGGAAGAGGGCGGGGGTGGTGGGGAGGCTGCTGCTGCTCTGGGCAGGCGGTCTGTCACTCGGGTAAATAAAAAATTAGTTTGTGAATTCAGAACTTCCCTGCTCCAAACACGCAGAAAGAATGTTGTTATATTTCATTTAGAATTCCGTCTCATCTTTGGTGTGCAGACTTTCACAGAAACCCTGTTTTCAGTCTTTGGGCTCCCCCCCCCCCCAGTGCCTGCCTTTAGGGGTGGGGTCCAAGATCAAAGCCCCTGCAGGGGTCACTGCTTCAGGAAGACTTCTTGGTCCTCGGGGTGGGGAGGAGGAGGGGGTGCCGGGGAGCAGGGGAGGGGGGAGGCCCCGAAGCTCCAACAACACCATTTGCAGACTCCCAACAATCCAACATGTTCAGTCCTCAAGGCCCTTTCCTATGTCAGACTCAAAACCCAGAAACCACGACAGAAGGATAAGACCAGCCATACGGAAATAAAAAACAAAATGGCCAAAATCTAAATATAAGTAACAAACTGGGGAAAAATATTTGCAACACATGACAAATAACTAATGTCCTGACTTCTAAATCAGTAAGGAAAAGGCCATCAACACAGACACAGGGGCCAGGGCACAAATGCATAGGCAGTCAGACTACCAGCAGGAGAAACACATGTGACTTTGAAAACTCAATTTTAAAATATTTAACACAGCTTCTGAGAAACAGAATATTTTCTCATATCTGAGCTGTTGGAAAGACCAAAACATTAACATTTAAGGTGTATGCACCCTGGAA